AAAACATCGCATTTCAAAAAACTAATCATTTCATAGCATCAGAAAATAATTAAAGTTAAACATAATTTTACAGAGTTATTACTCACAGATGGCTTTATTTGCAGAACAGACAAATCAGATAACTTGTGGCGCGTGACCCATACACATGTAGAAAAAACACATAATGAAACACACACTCGGTTGGTACTTAACTTCTTTTGTTTCGTTCTTAGTGTGTTTCTAAGTCTTAACCTTTTATTGAGTCTTAATCATGGTCTAGGAATGCCTAGGATGCAATGTGGATGCCAAAATGCACTTTGGAATCCTTAACAACACTCGCTGAAAACAGGGGTCCCGCTCGAACGTAACTTCCTTCGCTCGAGCGGACATGCAAACATGTGAGGGACTGCTCAAGCGCAACCTCCTTCGCTCGAGCAGTCTGTAAACTTTGAAAAAATACTGGTTGTGTGGTTTTCACAATCGACGGTCGTTCGAGCATGAGATTCAAGTCCTCGCTCGAGCACAACTCTTGTCGCTTGAGCGGTCTGTATAAACATGAAACTTCTTGGAACTCGCATTTCACGCTCAAGTGGGCCTCAGGTCGCTTGAATGGAAGTGTAAATTGCGGGGTGGTCGTTTGAGCGCAGATTCTGTCGCTCGAGCAAAAGTGCAGAATCTGGAATTTCCATATTGCACTCCCAAGGTCCAAACTCGAACTACACACCTTAAAACTCATCTCTTTGGGCCACAACTCCAGAAACATTTAGAAACTTGTAAAATACCATGGTTTGAAGATCATTTCACTAAATAAAGGCCCAAAAGCATGCTAATTGACCCAAACTCCAACTTGAAATTTATGAATATGCCATGAACATGACATGCATGAATTGTTTTGAACTAAGGCTTTCCAAAACATGATTAATTAAAGGTCAAATGGTAAGAATTATGATGAATTCTCAAAACCAAGTCAAGATAGACACATGCATGTGAAAATTCTTTAGAAATCTACTGAAAATGACATGATATATGCATGCATGCATGGAATTCATTCATTAAAGCTCACGTTTCTTACTTAGTCACCAAAACTTCTTGAATTTTCTTCATTAACAATTTGAATACAAAGATTAAGAATCAAACACTTACCTAAGACCTTCAATTGAGCTCTAGGTTGTTCTATCTTTGAGCCTTCAAGTCAATCTTCTCTAGATGGCTAGCAATTGCCTTGTTTGATTTCAATTATGTTGGTCCCTCTTTCTCTCTCTTCACATGTTGGAGCCAAAAGATGAGGAATGCAAGTGTGTAACAGTTTCTAAGGTTTATATTAGCCTTATATAGGCTCCACTAGTGGGCTTAATTAACCTTAATTAACTTAGGCTATGTATGGGTACTAATTAATCTAAATTGATTTGTTCCAAATCGAATTTTAATTGAACCTACCACAATGTTCTAAAAATTCCAAATAACACATATACCAAGTTAATTTTATGATTAGATGCCGATAAGGCCTTCAATTCACAAGAAGAAACAGAAATGCAAACAGATCTTTCTACAATAAACAGATATAAGCACCATAATGCGACACACACACATGCAATTAATTCAAAATTTCACTTAATTACTGATTAGGCTCATTTAATCATGAATTAATGCTAATCAGAGGTTGGGGTTACAATAAATGAAAATATACTAATAAATAATGTTATATTTTTCATTATGCAAGATATCCGTGGTACGGAAAATGAGACTCAACAACTCTTGATGTATAAAAGTATATTACATATTGATATTAATGTATTCTTACACTAATAATATGCAAATAATATGCAATAGTTAGTTCAATGAATTTGTATTATGAGATGAACTATTAAACAAAAATGTGTAATTTTGCAATTAATTTCATACCTTCAATTATATTATAGGTACGGATTATGAAAAATTGAAGTAGAAAGTTAATAGATTTTTTTTTTGTAATATTACATATTTAAATGACCTGTTTATCATTTATTATTTAAGATAAGATTGTAAATATAAATTAAGTTTTGTTTATAAAATTTTTCATTTATTATTTAAATTCATCAGTCTAGTATGTATTCATTTCTTGCTTAGTTGTATTTGGTACATATCAATTTACTTATATAAGTTTTCATAATTTATATACATATTGCATGTCAATTTAAAAGACACGCATAATTACTATACTAACAGTTGATAAAAAATCACGTGCAACGTGCAATGCATGTGCCCAACCGCTAGTATATAATATAATTATAAAAGTGTGAAGAACCTGTCATGTTTTCTATTTTTTTTTATAAATTTCAATTTTACCCTCTCAAATCTACTATATTTTCTAAGTTATGAAGAATTCTATATAAACTAATTATCTCTTTATTTTTAGAGTTGAGCACTCAAAAACGATATATTTTAATTTTAAAAATAGTATAAATACCTCCTTTTAGAGGTAGTTCGGAGGGGGTGAATGAGTTAATATAGATGATCGTGAGGTAATATTTAATAATAGTAAACGAACTCTTGATGTAATTAACTTTTATAGCGATTTTGGTTTTGCCCCGACCTTCATTGTTTTCTGGACTCGGGTTCCGTGATTGAATATTGTATCCATGTCTTATTTTTCCCTTTGACCCTTTGTATCTGAGTTTTAGAACTTGTTGGGCGAGTTTGGAATAGGTTGGTTGTTAGTTGGGTTAGATTGCTGCGGCTCAGATTTTGGCCTCTTCGCTCGAGCGAGACTTCTTGCTCTCGAGCGAGCGTTTTATGACTTGCTTCTTTGCTCGGGCAAGGTTTCTTGCGCTCGAGCAAGAATTAGGAGTTCTCAGGTTTCCTTCTAGATGCAGCATTTCTAGAGAGGATGAAGTTCTTTGCTCGAGCAAGGCTTCTTACGCTCGAGCAAGCCTTGTGTTATTTGTTCCTTTGCTCAAGCTTAGTTTCTTGTGCTCGAGCGAGGGTGTGAGTCTGTGAAATACCTGAAGGTATGTATTCCATGCTCAAGCGAGGCTTCTTGCGCTCGAGCGAGCGTGTGCGTCTGAAAAACTTCTGAAGCTTTGTATTCTACGCTCGAGCGAGGCATCTTGCACTCGAGCGAGGTCACTTGTTGTGTCTGGTCGCTCGAGCGAAGACCGCGTATATTAGTTCCCAACAGAGATATTTTACTTCCCTTTTTGATTTCTTTTCCTCCCAAACCCCTAATCCAGCTCCATCTCTCTCTAAGAATCCAACTTCTCTATACAAATCCCTTAGAATCTAAGAGTTTCTACTCTACTTCCTTTGAGAGAAAAGTGTAGCATCTTGTGGGCTTCCAATCTATCAGTAAAGCTTGACTTTGGGCATTTTCAAGATTCTCATTCTTCCTCTTTGAGCTCCACATTTGAGGTAGGGATATTCTACTCTTTGATATGCGTTTTAACCTAGGTATTTGTCATTTTGTAGAAATTGTGGGATTTGGGAGGATCTGGGTAAAGTTAGGGTTTGGGTTTGAATATTGAAAGAGGGGTTGTCTATATTTGGCTCCATATATGTATGTGAGATCTTGAACGTGATGTTACTTAAGTATAATTGGTGAAATGGGGTCTTGGGGTTAATGTTAGGAAAGAAGGAAAACTTGCCCTAATTTGTGTTAAATAAATTATTTTGTATAAATAATGAAATTGATATGGGAAATATGAAATTGGAAAGGGGTACAAATGATTGGTGCACTTGGATTTATTAAGTCACTCACCTACGAAAATTTGGTAAATTATCTGTTTGATAGATTGTACATCTGTTTAGAAATATCTGTTTGGGCTATCGGTGGAGGATAGCTATGATTGTTGTAGGAACTACATGTGGATTAGGTGAATTAAAACTAATCAATTGAATTATGTCATTGAATATGACGGTTTGATTAAACCATTGAATATGTGATTTGATTAGTCATTGTATGTGACAACGTTTTTAAATACATTGCATATGTATCATTGTTTGAGAGGAGATGTGTGATGGACTCCATTGAAAATTAAGTTAGCCGGAGTGTCCAGGGTGAAAGTCCCAAAATCTTATATATATATGGGTGCCGATTCCCTCGGATGTGATTCCCTAAAATGGCAAGACAAAAAAGTGTTGGATTGATGAATGTATTGAATTGTGAACCACTGAGTGTTTCTCATTTTAGTTGATTGGATAATAATGAATTTGGTTAATAGATTTACCTGAAATGGATGAATGGAAATGAATTGAGGTATTGGTTATCTATATTGAATGGTCTTGGAAAGAATATGTGTTGGTTAAGAATATTGCATATTTTTTTGATGCTTATATCTTAGTTAAATCTCATATATTGTTTTAGTATATCTCTACTAGGCTTTGGCTCACCCTACTTGGGAAACCATTTTCAGGTACAAGTGACATGCCGCCTCCAAGAACATAGCTTGGGAGGTTTAGGGGCTAAAGACTTCGTTTTGTTATTTCGTTTTGTGTTAAATGTTCATTTCATGCCGAGGGCTTTAAATGTATAGAGCTAGGACTCTCTCTTTTGATGTAACCAAGAGATGTCTTGGAAAAATGTGAGCCCGTAGGGCATTATTTTGTTGTGATTAATTATTGTTATATGCTATAGTTTCAGAATGAATATTTATGAAAGTATGATGCATGTAATCTCTTTTGTAATATAAACTCTGATGAATGAAAGTAATACATTTCCTATTATGATTATGAACCTCTTGACTTGGTTTATCCTCTTTATTTTGAGGGCATTGCAACTTTTAATAATTTTCTACCACTGTCATAATTTAAAATTGATAGCAATTTTCTTGGGATTCAAGATTCGTAAAAAACTAGTACAACATACGTAGGCAACAATAGGAGGGTAAGGAAGTTTCTTTGGGGCTCGATGGAGAGGACTATAAATAGGCAACCTAGCGTATTGTGAAAATCAAACATATCAAACTTCAAAAAGCTCCTCTTATATGTTCCTAATCCAGTCATTTGATCATTGTGAAAAATAAACACAAAAACATTCAGTTTTGAAAATGGAGGCGGTAATATCACAATCTCCCGGTCAAATCCAAGCCCTAACTAATGGGAAATTAATAACTATTCTTAGCATTGATGGAGGTGGCATTCGAGAAATCATTTCTGCCACTATCCTCACTTACCTTGAATCCCAGCTTCAGGTATTAACTCTTTTTATTTATTTATTTATTTAAGGGTTGTGTACATATGGTATGAACTATGAGAGTTGCAATGTTACATAATATAAATATATATATATTATAGTAGTGGGTGCACACACAATGTGTGTGCAAATATATATAATTGAAATGTATGTTCATTCGTGGTATGATCTATATATCCCCACTAACGTTCAAATATATTGCACAAATTTAAATTTTAGACAATTTTTAAAATATTTTTCTTTCGTACATAGCATGGTTGTTAGGAGAGAAAATAATGATTGAATGAAAAAATTTAGAGGAATTTACATGTCAGTGTATATTTAGAAAAATATTTACAAATTAATGATAAATTTTGTAATTATTAAAGTATGAAGTGATAAACTTTATCACCGATCAGTAATTAATTTTTACAGAATTCACTGAGCAATGGTTTTCGAAAAAAACATTTTCTATCATGCGAATTTAATCAATTCAATACTAAATTAATGAATTCGCATCAGTATATTTATCGGCAATCCAAAGTGACTTAATATACTAACATTTTTTTTGTTTATTGATTTCATGATTTTACTAGGTATATTTTGTGCAAGTTAATTTTCTATTCAAGTGTTTTAGTACCTAAATCCCCAATAGTATGTACTTATAATAATTATTGTGTTAATGTACATAAAAGAGGAAAAGGATGGTGAAATTTGTTGTGATAAATACTATTTTTCTTTTTTAAGATAGTAGTGGTGATTATAATCTTTAATGTGCTAATAACTCCAAAATTGTTTTGTCATGATGCGGAAGCTGGATGGTGAGGATGTAAGAATTGTGGACTATTTTGATGTGATTGCAGGAACAAGGACTGGCGGTCTTGTGACTTCTATGTTAACTGCTCTAAGCGAAAATAATTGTTTTTATCCTATTGTCCAATTGTCCAAAAATATTAAAGACTTTTACCTTGACAATTGTCCAAAAATATTGCCACAAGAGAGGTAATAATTACAAACAATTAAGAATTTTTGTATAAAATTTTCATACAAAATATTATATATAATGGTTTTTATCCTATTGTTTCAAACTAAAACTCATACCAATATTAGTTATAAAAATTATTTTTGTGGATTCTTTTGTTTTCCCATTCAATGATGATGATACTATGTAGTGGGAGTATTAACATGTTAAAACTTTAAAACAAACAGCTCCCTATTTCCTCAAGCTACAAAGGTAATCACGGCCTTATCATGTTACGTCCCCAAAATAATACAAATAATCCAACTCATAAGAGAAGTGAGCATAATAGAATTGGTATATTTTCATTCATCAGAGTTCCTATTACAAAAGATAATACATTGAATATACATTCACAAATGTTCATCATGAATCTACAGCATGTAATACGAGTTAATAATAGCAAAAAAAATGCCCTACAGGCTTACATCTTTCTAAGACATTGCTTGGTTACAACAAAAGAGAGTCATAAGCTCTGTACATATATAAAGCCCTTGGCTAGAATAAACATTTAAACACAAAATACAAAATAGAGCCTCCAGCTCCCAAGTCCTCCCAAGCTACATCCTTAGAGGAAGTATGTCGCCGGCACTTGAAAATAGCTTCCCAAATAGGGTGAGCCAAAACTCAGTAGAAACAATCTATTACAATATATGATGTTTAACTGAGTTATAAGTGGCAGATGTATATGCTCAATATAGCGATCCCGGTTGTCCCTTTACTGTTCTGTTGTATCCCAGACTCGATTCCGGGGAATCGGTAGTCGTATCTATCTTGTTGCTATCCTTTAAATCCGTTGTTTGAGTTTTGGGATGTTTATGGGCTTGTGTTGAACAGGTGGGTTGAGCCTTGGTCTATATCCTTGTTGCCCAGGTTTTTGGTGTTACGCTCGAGCGGGTCATTCTGTGCTCGAGCGGAGTTTGGTTTCTAGTTTAGCGCTCGAGCGGGTGTTCTGGCGCTCGAGCGGAGATTGCACACTCCCAGTATTTCGTGTCCCTGCAAAACTTCTGCAGAGGTGTTTTCTACGCTCGAGCGGGTTTTTCTGCGCTCGAGCGGGTGGCGCTCGAGCGTGATTGTTGGCGCTCGAGCGGGTAGTACTGTCTTGGTGAGGGTTCTGGGAGAGGGAGATTTGCACTCGAGCGGACTGGTTTTCTCGCTTGAGCGAGTGTACTTTATTCCTGTGTCTTGGCGCTCGAGCGGGCCTTATTGCGCTCGAGCGTGTCCAGATTTTTGTTCTTGGCGCTCGAGCGTTGTGTTCTCCGCTCGAGCGGGTCATACGTATATGAGTTATCCGCTGGGTGATTTTAAATCACTTTTTGCTTTTCTTTCTCTCTCCTACTTTTTCTAAAACCCATTTTTGAGAGCCTCTCTCTCTAGAAACTCCCTTCTCTCTAGGGTTTGATCTAGTTAGAGTGCCCTCCTTCTCTTCGGTCTTTGTAAAAGTTGTGTGGATCGTCGAGGGCGTCGTTTTGATCCGAGAATCTTGGTCTTTGGAGCATTTTGGTTTTGGCTTCTTCTCCATCCGAGCTCTAACTTCGACGTAGGGATAACCTACTCCTTACTATGAGCTTTGTCTTTAAATTTTAGTATTTTGAGATGTTGGGGTTGGTTTGGTAATTTCGTGAAAGCTTGGGGCCTTTGTGTAATTTTACAAAAGTTGGGGTTTTTATTTATATAAAACCAAAATGCATGTTTGGCATGGGAAAGTGGAATTAGTGTTGAAACATTAATGAAAATGGAACCTAAGGGTTGTAATGTTAATTATGGAAAATGCCCTAATTACATTGGTTAAGTAATTTGCATAATTAATTATGAGAAATGAGAAATTGATTTGGAAAGATATGGGATTAAAGGGTGTAGTTGGATTACTTATCGCTCACCTAGTTGGAATGTTGATTATATATCCATTGTTGCATTTATTTTCTGTATAGAAATAACTGCTTTGGGCTATCGGTGGAGGATAGTCTTGATTGTTGTAGACAATGCATGATGATTAGGCAAACTGAAACTAATCACTGGAATGTGTCATTGAGTGTGACGGTTGAAAGAATACATTAAATTTATGTGTTGTGTGATGATGTGTATAATTATTGTTTATATGCATTGTGTTGTGTTGGAGGAGATAGGGGATGTAGTCCACAGTTTAGGGGAAAATAGGGGATGGACCTCTAAACCGGATGTGTTGGGAGGAGATAGGGGATGGACTCCATAGATAGAGCTCATATGCTTATCTATTAATGTGTTGACAGAGCTCATATGCTTGTCATTGGAAGTGTGATAGTGCTCATATGCATATCTGTGGAAGTGATGATATAGCTTGTATGCTTATCTGTTGGTGTGTGATATAGCTAGTATGCTTATCTATTATGAAATGGGAAAGTGCTTAGTATGAGTTGTTGTCTCATATGAGTTGTTTGGCTAGGTTCTGAGCCATGGTTATAAATTGAGAATTTGAAAGAAATTGGAAAATGAAGTGTAATATGGACTTGCATGTCATGAAATTGTAAAGTGTGATAAGGGAAAGTATCAGTGTTGGCCATCTATCAACTGCTAATCTTTTAGTCATTGTTCATATTTGATTTAGTATATTTCTACAGGGCTGTGGCTCACCCTATATGGGAATATCATTTTCAGGTACAGGTAGCATGCCACCTCCAAGGACGTAGCTTGGGAGGCTAGAGGCAGGCGGACTTTTGTTGTTTTATTTCCTTGTTGTATTACATGTATATTCAAGCCAAGGGCTCAATGTGTAAATGAGTTAGTACTCTTTTGTTGTAACCAAGTGTTAACTTGGAAAGCTGTAAGCCTATAGGGCATTTGCTTTTGTTGTTAACATGTAATACTTTTGATAATGGAACTCTGATGAATAGGAGAATGTGGAGCTTTTATACATCAATGCATGTCTATATTGATGGGTTTAATGTTGTTTTTTTTTTTTTGAGGGCGTTACACTCAATATTTTTGACAAATGCACATTCTTCACATGACCACACTATAGCGATCCCGGTTTTACCCCGACCTTTATTGTGTTCCGGACTTGGATTCCGTGATTGTATATTGTTTTCTATGTCTTGTTTCCTCCCTTTAATTCTTTGAATTTGAGTTTTGGGACTTGTTGGGCGAGTTTGGAACAGGTTGGTTGTCTTTTGGTACAAATGGTTGTTGCCCAGATTTTGGCCTCTTCACTCAAGTGAGGCTTCTTGCGCTCGAGCGAGCTTTGTGAAAATGTTCCTTCGCTCGAACGAGGCTTTTTGTGCTTGAGCGTGTGTCTACGTTGGTGGCAAACTTGAAGCTTTACATTCTACGCTCGAGCGACGCTTCTTGCGCTCGAGTGAGGCGACCTTTTTGTGTTTGGTCGCTCGAGTGAGAACTCCTTCGCTCGAGCGAGCCTGGTGTACATCAGTTCACAGCAGCGCCGTTTTGCTTCATTTTTCTGATCTCTTTTCACTCAAAAACCATAAATTAGCTCATTCTTTCTCTAGGGTTGGAGTTTTCTCTACAAATACACCTAGATCTAAGGATCTCTTCACCCTAGGGTCTTTGGAAAAGGGTAGAGGGCTACAAGAGCTTCATTTTGATCCAAGAAGAAATTGGTTTCATCATCTTTGAAGTTCCACCTTGTTGCTTGGGTTTTCTACACTTGAGGTAAGATTTTTCTACACTCTAATATGGTTTTTAGCTTAGTTATTTGCTATTGTGTATAGATGATGAGATTTGGTTGTGGTTTGGACAAATCTAAGATTTGGGTGTTATATGGAAAAGAGGGGTTTTTGATGAATACGGGGTAAATGAGTATGAGGCTTGAATATAAGATCATGTTGTGCCAAAATAGTTATTTTTTGTGTTTGTGTTGAGATTTGGTAAAACGGGGATTTTTTGTCCTAATTTGATTAAATCATTATCTTGCATAAATAATTGGGATAAACATCGAAAATGTGAAATTGGAAGGTTGTGATTATAAATAGTGATATTGGATATGTATTATCTCACCTATGAAAGTTTTGAATAAATTATCTATTTTGATATTGAACATCTCTTTTGAAATAATTGCATTGGGCTATTGGTGGAGGATAGCTATGATTGTTGTAGAAATTACATGAGGATTAGGCAATTTAATGCTAATCCATTGTTGGTGTCATTGGATATGACCATGTTATAAATACATTGTATATGTATCTTTATTGGGAAGAGAAACGTGATGTACTCCATATGTGATTATGTTTATAAATACATTGAATATGTATATTTGTTTGGGAGGAGAAAGGGGATGGACTCCATGTAAAGCAAGTTGGCCGGAGTGTCCAGGGTGAAAGACCTGAAATCTCATATATAAATGGGTGCCGATTCCTTCAGACGAAATATCCGTAAAATGGCAGGTTTGAAGTGTTGATGTGTGTTTTGCATAGTTGGAAAACCATTGAGTTGTAGTCTCATTTTGGTTGTTGACAGATAATGAATTTAACTCATGAATTGAGTAACATATATGAACTTGAAATGAATTGAAGGAAAATGGAATGAGGTTAGGTCTTAGTAGCATATGAATATGCAGGCCTTGTGGATGTTTTAGTATCGGTATTGTTTATGCACGTAGTATTTATACCTTTGCTAAACCTCATATATTGTGTTAGATTATTTCTATTAGGCTGTTGGCTCACCCTATACGGGAATACCATTTTTAGGTGCAGATGAGATGTTTCCTCCAAGACAATAGCGTGGATGGACTTTCGAGAAGCAAGAGCTTCTTAATTATGTCTTGTTGTGTGCATGTTTGTTGTTTGTAAAGCCAAGGGCTTAAGATGTAATGAGTGAGACTCAATTTGTGTAACCACGCAATGACTTGGGAAGATGTACGCCTATGTGGCATTTAACTGGTTGTTAAACAGTAAACTCTGATGTATCAAAGTATGTTGTTTCTTATATTTATTATGCATATGAGTTATCTTTATTGTATTATTTTGGGGGCGTTAGAACACAGTACCAATATTCACATCTCAATCCATTTCCATTTATTCATTTCAAGTTAATTCGCTTTGTTTCCATATATAAGCCAAGTTTATAGTTTTCCAAATAACCCAACTGAGGCTACAACTCAGTGGTTCTCAATCAACATAACCATCATACAAGAACTTCAATCATGCCATTTTACGAAAATTTCGTCCGCGGGATCGACACCTATGTATACATATGATTTCGGGACTTTCACCCTGGACACTCTGGCCAATGGAGTCCATCCCTTATCTCCTCCTAAAATATGGTGTACATCCCCTTTCTTCTCCCAAAACATTTTACATATACAATGTATTCAAAGGTGCTGTCATATTCAATGACTTTCAATTACACATATTCAATGCCTCAACGTACCGTCATATTCCATGACAAAATTAAATGATTAGTTTCAATTCACCTAATCATCATGCAATTTCTACAACAATCATAGCTATCCTCCACTGATAGCCCAATACAGATATTTCTAAACAGATATTCAATCTTTATAACAAATAATTCATCACATTTTCATAGGTGAGTGATTAAACAAATGCAACAACACTATTCATCTATACTTTCCCCAATTTCACATTTTCCATGCCAATTTCATTGTTTATGCAAAATAATCATTCAAGACATATTAGGGAAAATTTTCCCTTTTTTCAAATATTAACCCAAATGCTAAAATCCACTATTCGAACATAAGAAAAGTTCATATCTAAAATCCCAGGATCATTTATGTAACACAACATAAAAACCCCTCTTTTCAATTTGAATCCAAACCCTAGGTTTACTCAAATACTCCTAAAATCTCACCATTTGTACATAACAACAAATAACTAGGTTAAAGATCATATTAAGGTGTAGAATATCCCCACCTCAAATGTAGAAGCCCAAAGGAGAAGTGGAGAAACCTCAAGCACACCCAAACTCGACTTTATTCGGATAAAATGGAAGCCTACAAAATGCTCTATCTTTTTATCAAAGAGAATAGGGTAGAGAGATCCCTAAATCTAGGTATATTTCTAGAGAGAAGTCGGGTTTTAGAGACAGAAGGAGCCGATTTAGGGTTTTTGAGTGAAACGATAACAAAAAGTGATGTAAAAATGACTTGCTGTGAACTGATATACGCGAGGCTCACTCGAAGGAAGGAGTCGTCGCTCGAGCGACCAGACACAATAAGTGTCCCCGCTCGAGCGCATGAAGCGTCGCTCGAGTGTAGAATACAAATCCCTAGAAGTTTTACAGACAGAAGACCGTCGCTCGAGCACAAGAGTCCTCGCTCGAGCGAACAACAACACCTCCCTAGAAACTCTTAAGGTCTGAAAGAAATACTGGGAGATCACAAAGTTCGCTCAAGCGAGGAAAGCTTCGCTCGAGCAAAGAAGCAAAAATTTGGGCAATAACAATCTAGATCAACTAACAACCAACCCGATCCAAACATGCCCAACACATCCCAAAACTCAAACTCGAAGAGTGAAAGGAAAAGAGATATAAATAAAAATATTAAACCACATCCCAAAACTCAAACTCAAAGAGTGAAAGGAAAAGAGATATAAATAACAATATTAAACCACGAGACCTGAGTCCTAAATACAACAAAGGTCGGGTCAAAAACCGGAATCGCTATGTATTAGGACCAAAATATGATGGGAAGTACCTTCGTGAACTAGTTAAGGAAAAGCTTAGGGAGACAAAACTACATCAGACATTGACTAAAGAGTCCTATATAAATATAAACAAATCGTCTCCCTTCTTGTAAGGAAAAAAAAAAAAAACAGCCTCTCCATTTTGTGCATAAATGATGATTGAAGAATAAAAAACAATTACTCTTTATTATTTATCGCATATCAATTTAAAAGACACGCATAATTACTATACTAACAGTTGATATATAAGAGGAGCTTATATATCTGGGTAAATTGTTGTTATTATCATTACTACTACAAACTTTTTTTTTTTTGACGTAAAACATTTTTTTTTAAAAAAATATTCTATTCATTTTTTATTGTTTTGTTGAACAAAATATAAGTAAAAATGTTTTTCATTATAGTTTCAAAAACTTCTTGACATTAAAAATTATGCAATCAAACTTGTTCAGCGCATTTGACTTTTCAAATAGGTATCCTAACTTTTTCATGCAATATAAATTTTTTGTTTCAATTATGAACTAAACGTCAAAAAACAAATACAAAATATTTTTTTGTGTGTAAAATTAATTTATATGAAAATTATTTTATATCAAAACAAATGGAACCTAAATCAACTTATTCTTGGTGTAAAAGTAGAAAATCATCGAATAGGATCTACACAATTTTTTAGTTAATTTTAATTAATATTTTCATGGTGTGAGATTCTTTCAATAATACATTAATGATGATTGAAGAATAAAAAACAATTACTCTTTCTTATTTATCACATATCAATTTAAAAGGCACGCATAATTACTATACTAACAGTTGATATATAAGAGGAGCTTATATATCAAGGTAAATTGTTATTATTATCATTACTACCACAAACATTTTTTGTTTTTTGACGTAAAACATTTTTTTAAAAAAAAATATTCTATTCATTTTTTATTGTTTGGTTGAACAAAATATAAGTAAAAATGATTTTCATTATAGTTTCAAAAACTTCTTGACATTAAGAATTATGCAATCAAACTTGTTCAGCGCATTTAACTTTTCAAATAGGTATCCTAACTTTTTCATGCAATATAAATTTTTTGTTTCAATTATGAACTAAACGTCAAAAAACAAATACAAAATATTTTTTTGTGTGTAAAATTAATTTATATGAAAATTATTTTATATCAAAACAAATGGAACCTAAATCAACTTATTCTTGGTGTAAAAGTAGAAAATCATCGAATAGGATCTACACAATTTTTTAGTTAATTTTAATTAATATTTTCAGGGTGTGAGATTCTTTCAATAATTTGAAAACTATTTCTTTCTTTTAATTGATTTTTCCTTTCTCTCTTACTTTCCTTCTTAATTTTGTTTGTTTGTTTTTATTAAACTGAAGCATTACTTGATTTAAAGAAGGAAAAAAAAAAAAAACTGAAGCAGTATTAAATATAAAAAAAACTTAAATAGTATAGTTTTTTTTAATTATTATTTTTAGATTGTATTTGATTCATAGTATAGTTTTTTTTTAATTATTATTTTTAGATTGTATTTGATTCATGAATTTGAAAAGAGATTTGAACAAAAAAAATGTGTATAAAATCTATCCAAATCGGTCCTCAAATCCATAAACCAAACATAATCTTAATCAATTTGTCTCTTTCACTCACTTTTTCAATTCTTACTTTTTTGCTTTTATTTTGTTTATATTAATGGAGATATACCTAAAGCAAAGCAGGGGATGTTAGGGTCGGGGAAAACCGATCCCCATGAGGGGCAGGGGTGGTAGTAAGAAATTGATCTCCGTTGGGGATTGGGGATGAAGGATGGCGAAAAACTAAAAATTGAGGTTTGGGGATGGAGAGGGTAAAACCCACTCTACCCTTCCCATTGCCATCCCTAATCATTCCTACCACTATCCTAACTTACCTTGAATCCCAGCTTCAGGTATTAACTCTTTTTAATAATATATATTTTTTTAAGGGTTGTGTACATATGGTATGAACTATGAGAGTTGCAATGTTACATAATATATATATATATATATATATATATTAGTAGTGGGCGCACACACAATGTGTGTGCAAATATATATAATTGAAATGTATGTTCATTCATGATAAGATCCACATATCCCCACTAATGTTCAAATATATTGCACAAATTTAAATTTTAGACAATTTTTAAAATATTTTTCTTTCGTACATAGCATGGTTGTTAGGAGAGAAAATAATGATTGAACGAAAAATTTAGAGGAATTTACATGTCAGTGTATATTTAGAAAAATATTTACAAATTAATGACAAAATTTATAATTATTAAAGTATGAAGTGATAAACTTTATCACCGATCAGTAATTAATTTTTACAGAATTCACTGAGCAATAGTTTTCCAAAAAAAGATTTTCTATCATGTGAATTTAATCAATTCAGTACTAAATCAATGAATTTGCATCAGCATATTTATCAGCAATCCAAAGTGACTAAATATACTAATATTTTTTTTTATTATTGATTTCATGATTTTACTAGGTATATTTTGTGCACGTTAATTTTCTATTCAAGTGTTTTAGTATCTAAATCCCCAATAGCATGTACTTATAATAATTATTGTGTTAATGTACATAAAAGGAAAAGAACGGTGAACTTTATTGTGATAAATACTATTTTTCTTTTTTAAGATGGCAGTGGTGGTTATAATCTTTCATGTGCTAATAACTCTGTGAAATAGTTATGGAAAAACTTAGGGAGACAAAACTACATCAAACATTGACTAAAGAGTCCTATATAAATATAAACATATCGTCTCCCTTCTTATAAGAAAAAAAAAAAAAACGCAGTCTCTCCATTTTGTACATTAATGATGATTGAAGAATAAAAAAAAATTACTCTTTATTATTTATCGCATATCAATTTAAAAGACACGCATAATTACTGTACCAACAGTTGATGAAAAATCACGTGCCACGTGCAATGCATGTGCCCAACCGCTATTATATAATATAATTATAAAAGTGTGAAGAACCTGCCATGTTTTCTATTTTTTTTTAAATTTCAATTTTTCCATCTCAAATCTACTATTTTCTAAGTTATAAAGAATACTATATAAACTAATTATCTCTTTATTTTTAGAGTTGAACAGTCAAAAATGATATATTTTAATTTTAAAAATAGTATAAATACCTCATTTTCGAAGTAGTTCGGAGGGGGTGAATGAGTTAATACAGATGATCCTAAAGTAACATTTAATAATGGTAGGCGAACTCTTGATGTAATTAACTTTTAATAATTTTCTACTACTGTCATAATTGAAAATTGATATCAATTTTCTTGGGATTCAAGATTCGTAACAAACTAATCCAGTCATTTGTTCATTGTGCAAAATAAACACAAAAACATTATTCTATTTTATAAAATCAGTTTTGAAAATGGAGGCGGTAATAGCACAATCTCCCTGTCAAATCCAGGCCCCAACTAATGGGAATTTAATAACTATTCTTAGCATTGATGGATATGGCATTCAAGGAATCATTCATACCACTATCCTCACTTACCTTGAATCCCAGCTTCAGGTATTAACTCTTTTTTAAATTTTTTTTTGTTTTTTTTAAAGGGTTGTGTACATATGGTACGAACTATGAGAGTGTAGACACCCCATTTTTGACCGTCCTTAAGACTTGGACGCCATCGTTTGAACACTCGGTGATCATCCTTGTTCGTGTTTGTCTTGAGTTCCCGGAGGTCTCGGCTACGCGCCCTACCTCAGGATCTCTCGACTCGACTGTTTTGTGTCTGGTTTTGCACCAAACACTTGTTGTTTTGCTTCTGAGGGTGGGAAGTAGCTTGTAGGCCATCCCCACACCTCACCGGCCATGGCTTGAGGCCACCGGCCTTGTTTCCTTGCCACCGGCCATTGGTGATGGTCGGTCGGCACTATTGATGGTCGGTCGGCATTGTGTTTGGTCGGCCGGCCACTGTTTTTGATCAATCGGCCACTTTTCCTGGCCAAGACCTTTTCTTGAGGGAGCTTGCCCCTTTTGAACCTTTTTTTAGCTTTTTGAGGAAGCTTAAACCTTTTTAGCTTATTCAAGAAGCTTGACCCTTTTTTAGCTTCTCCAAGAAGCTTGATCCTTTTTTTAGCTTCTCCAAGAAGCTTGAACCTTTTGACCCTTTTTAGCTTCTCCAAGAAGCTTACCCTTTTTTAGCTTCTCCAAGAAGCTTGACCCTTTCTTTAGCTTCTCTAAGAAGCTTGACCCTTTTTTTAGCTTCTCCAATATATTTGTGGTAATACAGTAAGCGACACCAAAAGGTTTTTTTTGTTTTATTATCAATTTTTTCCCCTTTTTACCTGAATTCGTAGATAATTTTTTTCAGACTGGAGGTCTTGAAAAACCACACTAAGGTGGAAGTCGACCATATCAGAACTGGCTTGAGTAAACACATCTATTAAAGGGGTAGAACTACCATTTGTTAACCATCCCGTCAAACCCCATTTAGCTGCTCCAATTGCACTGTATTTCTCCCCAGCTTTTTGTGTCCCAGTCCCTAATGATATTACTAGAAGCCGACCATAGTCCATTTGTTTTATAGCAAAATATTCTGCACTTTTCCTCATGATTTGCTTCGTTACCTCTCCTATAGCAATCAAAGTCTGAAACATAAAATTACTTACATGAGTGGAAATGCTCAAAGAAAATAAATAGATAAGAGTTGAAAGTTATTGTTAATCAAATTTGATAAATACCGGATTATTTGCTGCCATGCCGCTATCAATTAGGTTAAATTCTCTCACAGTTCCAGTGGGGTCTTTGGTTTCGAAAGAATGGGCTGGAAAGCCGAGGTTGCAATGCATATATCTGAGAGTAAGGCATCCAAGGTTGGCTTATAGTTCACCTAAACCATGAAATATAAATTTTATGATAAGAAATTAGGACACGGGATTCTCAGTCTCAAATTTCTATGTCCTCTTATCTTAAATTCTCATATTTCACATCTCAAATATTCATAATTGTTGGATTATGTCTCGAAATTCTTACACATACATTCATATTCTCACATAATTCAATGATTGTAGTGTTTTGAGATAAAGAATAGAAAAAATTAAGGACAAATTACACCGGTAATTCCTATAG